CTGGGCTGAATTTGGAGAAGGACTAGATGAGATGTGCCCTCGTAGCTCCTGGACCCCTGAGCAGCACCACATGCTCACAGTGGGGTTGAGGTCATATGAGACCAGGGAAAATGAGTTAAAATGCTGCCCTTCTGTCCTGGCACATTTCCCAGCAACATCTCTGGAACAATCTGGATATTCTGTGGCAAGCCCCTCCCAGGACTGGTTTCTACGAGAGACCCGAGACCAGGAGGCTTCCTGAAAAACTGTTACTTATTCACATAGAATCTTATAAGACTGATCTTTAAATACACTTGAAAGCCATGGAAATGGTAGGAAATTTATCATAGAATCCTAAGGTTGGAAAAGATTTCCAAGAGCACCAAATCCAGCCATTAAAGGACACTTTCAGGGATTCAAACGGCAGCTAGAATTCATCCCAACAGGAAGGGCTGAAATATAAGCAGAGGTGACACAAAATCTTCCCAGTCTGATACACAAAGGACAACTTCCCTAATTCACCAGATGTTTCCCCTCTGATCCACATTCCCAGAGACCTTTTTAATTTCTCCCTCATGGGCTAAGAAACCCGAGCAGTGCATGAAACCTTCCCCTTCCCTGTCTGCACACACCCTCAGTTGGGTGGGAAAGGGAGAGGAATAACTGACCTCTAATAAATTCCTAAATTCTTCAACTTCCCTCCCCCCTCTGCCTCTTGCCCAAGCAGTAACAGACTTTGTCATGAAGACGAGACGGACACCAGCTGAGATCATGAAAGACAGCCAGAGTTTCTTTCTAACTGATGGAGAATGGAAGTTCACCAACCTGAGCATCATTGAATATACAGAAACGTTGGATGACAAAGATTTTTCTGTGGTTACCTATCTGGTATGGCAGCACTTCCACATTATATTGCATTGATTTGGCACCAAAAAAAGCCCAGTATAAAACAAGATTATTTTTTACATTAGGGGACCAGCATTTGCCAACACATTGAGTCATCTCCTGCTCATCAAATTTTGTCCATCTTCCTCAACAGATTTCTATGGAGAGACGACCCACTCTCTACATTCTGAACCTGATCCTCCCAACATGTGCCCTGTACTTGCTGGACATGGCTGTGTTGTTTGGACCCAGCTCTCTTGAAGAGAAAATCAACTTCCAGATTGCCATCATCCTTGGCAGCTCCATGCTGGCTGTGATTCTCAACAACAGCCTCCCAACTTCCTCCAACAAACCACCCATAATAGGTACCCATCTTTCTCAAATAAACCTTAATTTTCACCCAGATATCAGCCCTAAGGAAGGTCTTTGGGTGTTTATAGACACATTCATGAACACTTGAAGTCATGAACAGCTAAGCTTGATTAGCTTGCTGGAGTTAGACTTTCTCTGTGCCCCACCAGGCAATGGAATGTAAGAAAATGCCAATTATCCAGCTCTCTGTGTTTTCCTGTTGTTCTGCAGTGGTGTTTTTCCTGGGCACCTTCCTGCTCATGATCATGGCTGTGTTAGACACCTTCTTCCTGTTGTACCAGCAGCGCAAATCCTTGCGCTTGAACAAGGTTCTTAGAAGCTTCCAGCAAGGTAAAACAATCCCTAACACCTCTAACAGTTTGGGTTTGGGGCATTTTCCTGCACATTTGTTGGAGCCAGGGTGGGTTTCCTCAGGGCAAACAGTGCCCCAGGCAGTGGCCCCACTGTGCTGACACTGCCCTTTGCTCCCTGCAGAGCCACAGGAGCTGCCCAAGGGACCCCCAGGCAACCTGGCCAAGGGGGGTCCCCAAGTGCTGCACCCGCCCGAGAAGGCCCAGGGACAAAGGCAGCCAACCAAGCGCCTCTGGCAGCTGCAGGAACTGGACCCGTTCCTGCCAGTTCTGGAGAAGGTGCTTCTCTACAGCCACCTCTTCCTGTCCCTGTTCTTTTTTACTGTGATTTCTGTAAAATGGAGCACCTGATGATTAGCTCTGCTTACCGCCAGCTCAGTTGTTCTCCACTGTGTTGCTTCTGACTCCCTGCTGTAATTTGCTCCAGTTCAATTCAAAGCTGCAGTTCAGTTGCCTGAATAAAATTAAATTAAAATCCAATGCCACAAGACACGAGATCTGCATGCGTAGTGCTTTGTACTCTGATTCAGTAGAACTACAGATGTTCTTGAAGTATTCTGTGGGCTACTAAGGTATTTGAATAAAATAGTTGTAAATTCTGGGAATAACACCTTCATTTTACCTATCAGTAATTCTGACATCAAACATGACCAAGAGGAAAGGGAGTTGATTGCCTTCTTGGTCCCTGCTACCAAAACAAACTCATGGGTAGAAAACAGAAAATCCAGGAAAAGTGGAATGTTTGCGAGTTACTGTATTGCTCCATGTTACTCAGAACTCATGTCTCAGATCTAAGCCACAGACAGAGAAAGCTCTTTATTTATAAGATCATAGAGTCTGACAGTCATTAAATTGCTCCCTGACCAGTTTACAGATCAGCAATTGGCTTGTGGGGCCAGTATGGATATTTCTCCTTGTTCAGTTTGGTTTCAGGGAAGGCATCACTCAGGTCTTCCAATGTCATCTGTTCAAAGGGAATCATGCTCTTGAGCTTCTGGAGCTGTGGAAGCAGGGACAAACACAAGTCAGTTGTCAGTAGAAAGGAGCAAAGCACACCCAGGAGAGCAAGGGGTGTGCCAGGGTGGGTTCCAGAGAATATTCCCTAAGCAAAGTCCAGCCTCACCTCCTGCTCGTACTGGGCGATGCGGGCTTTGGAAGCCTGGATGTACTCAGCAGTGCTCTTGGCCTGGGGAGAGCAGAGCACGTGGGGAGTGTGGTTATGATAAAGACACTGACCCACAGTGAACCTGCACACACACCCTCACCATGCTTTCAGTTGGCATTAAAATCCATCATTGTTACACTGGGTAACTGATGGAATTTCCAGCAGATCCCAAACAGCCAAACCCTTCGCTGTGCAGGGATCCCCTTGCTGAGAAGACAGGGACACGTGTGAAGGGCAGAGCTGTGCCCTGGATCAGCTTGCCCTGCCTGTGCAGGGGCACATCCAGAACATCACCACCCCCTCACCCCTTCTCATCCCCACAGAAGGCAGGGACAGCCTCAGTGGTAGGGGATGGTTCACTTACAGCTTCCTTCTCCTGGGCATCAATCTTGGCAGTTTGTGTATCCACTGGCTCAGGAACCTTTAGTGCACTGAACTGTAAATTGAAAGATAAATTTTTATAAGGTTTGTTTGACTGAAACAATCCTTCACATCGAGGTCATCTTTCCTAGGAGCAGAGGAGCATTCCCTCCTTTATTCCTAGGATTTGCTCACAACCATGTAAGTTAATGAGCTAAAAGTGATCAGTGCAGCTGTCCCTCCCAGGCAGCACTTGCTCACCCAGGAGCCTCCAGCCATCTCCTCTGTCCTACTCACCACCCCCAGGACACACAACACCACCCATTCCTCACACCACTGTAAGGAAGCTGGAAGGTCTAACACCAGAGGCTCACCCTTCAGTTATTGCCCCCAACACAAAGCTCCCAGACCCATCTGAACTCAGAGGCTGCCTCCAGTCTTGTGAGACAAATTTTCACAGTGACACAACCAACCTTCTCTGCTAATCCTGTCGTTTTCCTCTCAATGCCCCAGTTAAACTCCAAAGAGCAATACCCAGCTGGCAAGGAGACTGACCTTCTTCTGGAACTCATCCACCATTCCAGCTTTGGCAATATTAGCTTTGTAGAAAGCCCAATCGATGGTTGGTGGCTTCTCTGGCAGTGCAGCCAACCTGAAGGGATGAAGCACAGCAGGTATGAGCAGCAAGCTGAGCATCAGCACAGCCTGCTATGGTTAGTTCAGGTGTTCTCAGGTTTGAAACGAGCTATTTCTGCAAATCCCTCTCTGCACTTGGAATGGGCTCCTCTGGACAGACAAGAAGAGCTCAGCCTGCAGCTGTGCCCCACTTCACTCAACCCCTCTGGGTGCAGCCCTTAAGGAAGGATAAGGCTGCTTCACAACACTCAGCCAGAGGCAATCAGCAAGATTCCCTGTGACAGCCAGCATTTTTACCAGGCAAAGGATCCTAAACGATCTGAAAACCACACATGAATTTGTAGAGCATTTAACAGTGACAAACTTGTGCCAAAGCAAAGGGCTTTCACAGAACTGCAGCTACGGCTTTACTCTGGGGAAGATTAACTAAAGGTGATTTGCCAAAAAAAGCCACCAGCCGCCTCAAGGTGACCTGCTTTAATACCTGCGAGGACACTCGTGCGGGACCAGAGACAGCGACAGACAGCAGCACTCACAGCTGGGTGGCTGGGGAGGGCTGAGCAGCCCCAGCCACAGCGGAGCGGGGCGGGCACTCACCGGGCTGTCAGCGCATCGTTGCGGGTCTTCAGCGCGTTGAACATGGCTCGCTGGTTCAGGGGCACTCGCTCGGCGAAGGCCGCCCAGTCCACGGCCTTAAGGGCAGCTTTGCGTCCCGCCATGGCGCCGCCTGGCCCGGGAGACACCGGTGGGTCACAGCGCCGGCGGGGACCGGGGAGCGGGACTGGGGAGGGAGGCCCCGGTCGGGAACGCGGCACGAAGGGGGCGAGATGGGGCGGGACACGGGGGCGTGGAAGGGGTCAGGTCACGGAACAGGAGGGGGACCCTGGAGGATCGGGACACGGAGAGAATGTGGACACTGGGGGACCGGGACATGAGGGGCGCTCCTGAGCCCCGCCGCGACCTCACGCTGGCCCCCGTCCTCTCCCACCATCCTCCCAACACCGAGGACGTCCCCAGGCTGTCCTGTTCCCCAGCCTCGGGATTCTGGACTCCAGATCCCGTTCCCCATCTCCGGGACCCCTTTCCCGGAGCCCCTCCCGCTCTCCCTTCCCGGACCCGCTCTCACCTTCACTGACCGACACTGCAGTCCCCGCCGCCGGAAGTACCGCCCCCTCTGCGCCCACCGCCCAATCGGAACGCGGTTTCACCGGAAGACATCATCCCCGGAAGCGGCGCGGGCCGGAAACGGCGCGGGCGGCGATGGCGGCGGGCGGGCGCTGAGGCTCCGCCATGGCCGAGGGGCCGCCGAGGGGCCGCACGCCCAGCCCAGGCCCCGGGGGGGCACCGGGGCCGCCCAGCCCCCGCGCGGCCGGAGCGGCGGCGGGGTCCGCCGGGGCGCTGTCCCCGCCCGCCGCTGCCTCCAAGTGGGTGCGGCTGAACGTGGGCGGCACGTACTTTGTGAGCACCCGGCAGACGCTGTGCCGGGAGCCCAAGTCCTTCCTGTGCCGTCTTTGCTGCCAGGAGGGGCCCGAGCTCGGCTCCGACAAGGTGAGGCCGCGGCGGGGCCGGGACCCCCCCCCCCAACTCGGGAACAGCCCCTCCCTGATCCGCCACGGCAGCCGGTGTCACCAGGGTGCCCAAACTTGTCCCACGGGCGGGGGGACACCCCCGGCTGCCGCTGTCCCCGAGCCTCCTGTGCGGCCCCGGGCTGTGGATGGGCCGATCTCCCACGGTTCTGGGGCACGTCACTCTGACACATCATCGGCTTGTCCCTCGTGTCCCACGGTCTGGGAGGTGGTGGCATCCCCAAGAACGGGACTTGGCTCTGCCCTCGTGGCTGTGACACTCAGATGGCACAGGTTCTGATCCCTCCACCTCCCATGGACTCTGCTCAAGGAGCAAGCCACCTTGTAGTTGCAGCAGGGAAGGAAACTCCTAGAAACAGGAATGTTACAATTTCTCACCCTGAGCATGTTTCTTGTTGTTTTTATTTTTTAATATATTTAACTTCACTCTCATAAAACATCATGGTGCACATTCTTTGCAGGGCTGGACAGTTTTGAAGTCATTGCAGTTTATTGTAAGGATTTTGCAAACTATTTTTCTTGCAATTGCAGATTTTCCGTAGGATCAGCTGCACAAGGTTTCGTAAATATGTTGTGAGTGGGTCAGCCAGAATTAATTGAGTCTGTTGCTGCTTCATTCAGAGCTTAATCACAAGATAAACCCTGGCTGTGATCGAAATATCAGTCAGCAGCATCAGTGAGGAGATATTTGAGAGTGGGTTTGCACAGTTTCTTATTGCTTTGCAGTAGATTGGCAGGAGAAATGCTTAGAGTCATTAAGAGAGGAATGTGAGAGTTCTGCAGAGGGCTTGTGAGTGCTTCAGAACTGCTCAAGAGATGCTTTTGGCTCCGAGCTGTTATTTAATGCCAATAGTTGTTGTATTGTTGGACACGTGGCTGGAGCATTGCAATGTGTGTTTGCAGTACTGGAAAGAGGAAAAAAAATGAATTGTTTTGGCTACAAAGTGCCCTTAGCTAGAACTGGAGATCACATTTTTCTCCAGAGGCTCCTAATTAAACTAGTCTGGAGAACAGGATTAGCCAGAACACAACTGCCAGGTTTTGGTTCTTACTGTAGTGAAAAAACCCTCCTAAGCCCAGCTTTTTTCTCTAGGTCCATAAACTGTGAGTACAAGTGCTTCACATAAGGCATCTGCTGGCATTGCTGGGCTGCAAGGTTCATAGATCAGATACTGAAAAAGAAAAATGGTTTACATGTAGCATCATTTGTACACCTCTCACAGGCAAATGAATCCGGGTTCTCAAAGAGAAAGCGTTCAATTTATTGTGTTAGATTGAAACTATTTTTTCCTGGTACCACTGAGCTATCGTTGTTTTGTTCTCAGGATGAGACAGGGGCCTATCTCATTGACAGAGACCCCACGTACTTTGGTCCGATACTGAACTACCTCCGGCACGGGAAGCTCATCATAAACAAGGAGCTTGCAGAGGAAGGTAAGAGAAAAACACCAGGAAAGGCTGGAAGTGCTGTTTGATAGCACATCCAGGAGCCCTCACCAAAGACTGGTGTGAGGGTGTGAGCAAGTTTCCCAGGAGTGCTGTTATTACTGTTAATTGCTCATTAGTAGAGATTAAGTCATCAGATTCTGTGTCTTCCTGGAAGCAGAGGCTGCAGCTCACAGCACACCCTGTCACTGTTCTGCTGAGTCCAAGGTCTGTTACAGCCCATCTGCCCCTCACAGACCATGGTTCTCCCCAAACAGTCAGCTCTGAGAGCTTTCCCTTGATGGGGCTGGGTGAAGAAATAGACATTGTTCCATGAGATTTCTGATAATCCCAGGGAAAGGGGGATAATCTTTCTTAAAGATCCTCTGAAGTCACAAAAGGAGGTGACAGCTAGTCGGGCGTTTTCTCCTAGCCTGGGAGCAGGAGGTGGGTGGCACATTTGGGATTGTGACATTTAGGTTACATTTGGAGTCAGAAGCAGGTGTTGCATCCTTGTGACAGAATCATCTTCATTCTACCCTGTGCAAAGTAACAGAATTTGTGCTTTGGGTTCCTCTTTAGGGGTGCTGGAAGAGGCTGAGTTTTACAACATCGCATCCCTCGTGCGGCTGGTGAAGGAGCGGATACGGGACAACGAGAACAGAACCTCTCAAGTAATGCACATCTGGGATATGGAGTCACTTCGGTGGCACAGCAGGACAAGCGTGGCTGCAGGCCCTTGCAGTAGCACGTCTTTGATTCTGCAGTAATGAGAATAAATGCTGTTAGGTGGATGCAGGGCATGGCTAAGAAAGAGTCTCCAGTGTGGCTTTATAAAGCACAGAACCACTGAGTCATCCTAGCACTGTAAGGAAAGGCAAGAGACACTCACAGGAGAGGGGCCAGGAGCAGAAATGGGTGGTTATGAAGCAAAACATACTGCTTTGGTAAAGAATAGCTCAAATTCTTCCTTCTCTAAACCATTTCTTCCCTTTGTCTCCCTGTGACATTTTTCCCGTTGATGCTCAGCTGATACCAGCACACCCAGTAGATTCAATTTCAGAAACATTTTCAAAAAGCAGCAAATGGCTTTGAAAGCTAAAGAAGTTTTGCTTTCACTGTAGCTTAGACACCTAGAAAGCTTTTAAGAGAAGAGTGCCAGGCATATGGTTCTGTTTTGGAATCAGTGGGATTAAAAAGCTTTTAGAAAGCCAGTGGGGCTCTCACTTCCTAAGACAAGAGCAGGAATGGCTTATTAATTTTCTAGAGTGATATAAGTAAAGCAATTACTAAACTACAGCAATTGTTCTCTGTGCTCCAGGGACCCGTGAAACACGTGTACAGAGTGCTGCAGTGCCAAGAGGAAGAGCTCACACAGATGGTGTCCACAATGTCTGACGGATGGAAATTTGAACAGGTACCATGACCAAAGAATGGCAGAATTCCTTTGAAAACTGCATATGGAATGAGCAGAGTTTCCTGTTGAGTTGCACTTCACGCTGCTCTGCTTTTCTGAATAAGCAGCCTGACCTGAGCAGCAATCCATTTGTGTCGTTACTGACTGGGGAGAGCAGAAATCACTCAAGCTGCCAAAGAGATTTCATTTTCTCTCAGGCCTTCTTATCTCCTTGTGAAATCCCAGAGCAGTTCTTCCCTTCTACATTTCATCACATACACTAGACCACAGTACAACAGTTCTATCCAGGAAAATTACCAGAGTCATAAAAAAACACAGCACAACTTTCTTGGAACCTCAAAGCCACAACTGCTGCATTTGCTAAAGAGGCACTGAGTGACAGGAGAACTTCTTGTAGATGTCTTTGCAATGCAGCTGGTTCCAGGGCTGGGTGTTGCATATGGCATTAGTTCCAGGTTTGGTTTCTGGAATCTAGCACAGTTCCCTTATTTCTGAGGAGAGAGAACTGGAGCCAGCTGGCCTGTGTGTTATGTTATATTAAGAAGCTACAGAATAGGCTCTGTGGATTACAGCAGTGTCTTCCCATTTAGTCCAGCTTCAGTACAAGTGGACGCTGTGGGAAACGTGCTGACATGAAGTGAGGCAGAGGATTAGGAACAGCAGTTCCCATCAGTTGTTCCTATGGAAGTGCAGTTCTCCAACACCCAGGTTTTGCTGTCCAGCATTTTACAGAACCTGCTTTTCACACAACCACATCTACACCCCCAAAACCTTAAGGCTACAGGCAGTGCCTTTCCTGGCAACCTCCACCCTTAGATCTTTCCTGATCTTCCTTTTCCAATCTATAATCTATAAATATGGACCTGGCTCTTCTAAAATCTATTAGGACATGCAAGTTAAGGTGCATGCTGCACAATAAAGTTTCCTGGATACACACAAGTTGGTAAGAATCACAATGCTTTCTTCAGATGACTTGGACTGATTTTCTGGAAAGCAGAACTGAGTTGTAAATGACAAATTAGCTCTGCACTCCAGGATGTCCTTCTAATGTAATAATGATGAATGAGACAGATGGGATTTCTTGGATTGAGTCCAGATCCCTTCAACACAACAGTAATAGAATATAATCCCGTTTACACAGATACCAGACTCCATCTTGGCAGCATCCACATAAAGGATGTCTGTTTGCCACATGTCCCCAGTTAATCCAACATCTGCCTGGGGTAAAGATTTCCCGTTTCCACATCAGTCACAAGGCAGGTTGAGAGCTGAGTTCAGCAAGGACCAGACAGTTCACAATGCCTGCCCACATCTGAATGAACTGGATATTACATATTGCACAATCTGTTTTCCCTTTTTCCACCCTCAAAAACAGAGCAATGTTCTGCTGTGTTCAGCATTAGTTTCAAGCTGGAATTCCTTCCCAGGGCTCCAGATGCCACTAGAGGGCTGTGGAGCTCGGATGTATCCCTGCCTTATACACACACACAGGAGGCTGCAGGAGAAACTTTGTCCAGAACACATCTCTCAGGACAGTCCTATCTCACATCACCTGTAGGAATAAAATCAAGACTTACTGATAATTACTTGGCTGTCTCCTGTTGCACAGCTCATTAGCATCGGATCTTCCTATAACTATGGAAACGAAGACCAGGCAGAATTCCTCTGTGTTGTGTCCAGGGAGCTCAACAATTCTACCAATGGCATTGTCAAGGAGCCAAGCGAGAAGGCCAAGGTAAGGCACCTGCTCAGATGTACCAATTTGAATTTCCCTAGAAAGAAAAACCTTTCCTGCACCAAGCTACAGCAGTAGTTCTGTGGATCAGCTTTCCCATTGCCTTCTCTATCCTCCTCTCTTGGAAAATTTCATGATTTACTGTAGATCAAGAGCTAAGGGTCTTTGTGCACTTCAAATTAAGACCCAAATACTGAAGGAAAGAGTAACTTGAAGAGGGAAAACAGAGTAGCAAGGACCTTTGAGGTTAGTCGTGTTTTGTGGTTGAAGGATGTTGCAGGGAGAAACAAGATTTTTGTGCTCTTTCAATCCTCCCCATCCCTGGAAGTGTTCAAGGCCAGGTTGGATGGGGCTCCGAGCAGCCTGGTCTAGTGGAAGATGTCCTTCCCCATGGCAGAGGGATCCAACACCATAAGCTTTAAAGTCCCGTCCAAACCAAGCTATTCTATGAATCCACTTCTTTTTTTTTTCCGGAATAGAAACAAAGGCAACATCTTTACCTCCTGGCAAGCAGCTGAGCAGGATTTCTAGAGAGAAGGGCTGGTTCACCCTTAATTAGCCTATCAGTTGTTGTGGTGGCATAAAAGCCTGCAAGCTTCTCTCATATTAGTCCGTGTTTCCTTTCTCTGCAAAAAACAAGGACTCTGAAAAGGAACTTTTGCATTTAAACTTGTCTGAGGATTTCATAGAAAGTCTCATCTGTTTCAGATTCTTCAGGAGCGAGGATCCCGGATGTAATTCAAGTGTCCACTCCATTAAACTCCCAGATGTCACAGGGCAGTCCAGCTGGGCAGAGCATCTCTCCGCAGAGCAACCCAGCCCTTGTAAAATAACCAAGCTAATGCAAAGCAAAGCCAAGCCTGTCCTGCCAATGGCAAATAATTCTGGTCATAACCAAAGGCTTTTCTCTTACCCTGGAAACCGAGGAAGGAAAAGACTCTTCCAGTTGGATAGTCCTTTCCACAAGTATTTGTTTTATTTACTTGGCCAGCGCTGTATTGAAATTTTCCGACAATGGCTGGGCCGGATTCCCAGTCAGAGCCTTTGTGAAGGTTGCTCAGGTCCTCAGGCCCTTGTAATCAATCCCACCTTTCACAGGCTGCTGTGGGTGGGAAGGTCTATATTTGAGCTGTGCCATTTCTTGCACCCAGGTCTGCCACTAGAAAAGTGCAGGGACCTTGCAGTGCTTCCCCCTTCTTCCCCAAATCTGAAGAACAGGGCTTTAAAAGTAGGAACAAAACAACCATTTCTAAAAAACCCACACAAACTTTTCCATCCTTGCTTTGTATTTGTTCCTTGTCCAATTCCTAAGAGCTGAGTTTAGATCTGAGGGGAGGGGAGTTGTGTGTCCATCTGACACAGGTCTCACTGGTAACACTATTACACACGGGCTCCTGGTGTTTTCCAAAGCCCATTACTTTGCATGCATAAACAAAGAGGCCTGTGTTCACCCAAAATAGTGATAGAGTGATAGTCCTGTCCTTTACACTTCTCCACAGAGCAAGAGTGGTGACATCTTCCCCTCCAGTACCCTGTCATGGCCATATCTTAGCCTGGTGCAAAGTCACAAGGTTTAGGGACTTGCTGCTGCCAAGTTCAGCTTTGCCTTGTTTGTCTCCAGCAGTGTGGGCTCTGTCTCCTTCCCTCTCACCAGGGAGGGCTTCAGGCAGAATTTCTTTTGTACTGTACCAAGCAGGTAGGTTTGTCTGACCCCACAAGATCCTTTGCAGAGGAGATCCCCTATTTACATGCAGTGATTTACCTGCAGCCCCTTCATGTCCCCACCTTTAAGAGATCACCTCAAATTACAGAGGGACATCACAGAACTGGGGTGGGGGGATTTGGTGAAAAGTTGCCAAACTATTGTAATGTTTTTGTCCAAAGTGATGTGTCAACTTTTGTGACTTTTCTTTCCTTTTTTTTTTTTTTTTTTGGAATGCCTTGGATGGATGTGCAAAATGTTCGTTTGTGCCTCTCTTGAATTCTAATCTTAGCCAAACTGCAGTCACTGGTTCCCCTCTGTTATTCTGTGCCACCCCTAACCAAGGGCATGTCCCTCCTAGTCTGGTAAATGGAATTTCATAGGAATTTGCTGCATGTTTTTCCCCTTTCATCCTGGCTTTGTTCTTTGTAGCCCGAGTGTCCTAGCACTTGGGTCATTTTCAGTCAAGTCCCAAACTGACATTACAGCAAAGCTTCAGAGATGCTGGAATTCAGACATTGACAAGCTCAGAGCAGATGTTTCTCAATAAGCTACCAGAAAATTCCTCACCTGGACTGAGGGGTTGGGCTCCTTTCTGGAGGGCTTCAGCTACCCATGTTCTCCTGAAAGTTTTGACACAGAATTAGGCAGGTTTTCCATCTTAATCACTTGCTGCTGAGAGAGTCCTACCAACAGTCCAACAACCAGTTCAGGGACCAAGATGTGCAGCAAAGACACCGAGTGGCACTGCTGTGCTCTGCCTCTCTCCAGTCCTTCTGTACATCCCCTTGCCTGTCGTGCATCCTGCTCTGCCAGTGCACCTCCTCCAGTGGAGCCTTTGCCTCGTTCTCAAGACAGACTGGTTAACTGTGCTAGATTAGTCCTGGTAACAACAGACTGTGCCAAATGTCTTTGAATTCACGTTGTGTCAGTGACAGGCTGTTGAATCACAGCTGGCTTTCCATCACACTGAAAAACACAGCTCTGCTTCCCTCCATCTGCCCTGTTTATAACGTGGTGAGCTGGTGTTGGTGTGATCAGACTACACACCTTGGCTGGGCCTGAACAACACTGTGATGTGTACAGATCTCCCTCCTCTGTCCGTATCCTGTAGCCTCAGCCACTGTCTGTGCTCACAGCTAAGAAATCAAGAAGCATATGTATGCAAGTTAGCAGCCTGAAAAGCCCTTTAGCACTCTCATTTGTCTTATTACCCTTCCTCAGAGGAGGGAGTTTTTGGGAAGTGGTCAAGAAATACCAAACTAAAGGCAACAGGAACTGGTCAGACTGTATTTGTCAGATTGATGCCAGCTGAGCACCTTGTTAAACCATGGAGATGAAAGCAACACTGGCTGCAGAGGGAGACTTTCTGTCTGGTACAGCTCAAGTAGATAAGAATAACAAACACTTCTCTGGCTTTTTTGTGTCACCAAAAACACAACGTGGTGAAGCCCACTGGAGGGTTGCCTGATGCAGTGATGCCATTGCTCTCCCCTCTGAGCCACAGAGAGCCTAAAAGTGACCATTAGCAGGTGAATGGCACAGCTGCTTAACTGATGAGCACAAGAAAGATCAGGGTTGCATCTTGGTTTTCCCTTTTGTGCTCCTTTTGGCAGTGAGAAGGTGCCAGGGGACCATGGACTCTCGGGTTCCATTGCAGGGTCCTTTGAAGTTCAGCAGAAAAAGTTTATGGTAGAAAACCAGTCCTAGGTACTGGATGCTCAAGTTTTTGGGTGATATGTAGGACCAGGCATGAAGTCCATCCAGAGCAGGTACATTCCCAGTGAAGGATTTCTCCTTCCCTGACTGTGCTAGGTCACCTTTACCCTGAGACAGGGCTAGTCTCAGCATTTTGCACCAGTTGCATCCCTTCTGTGCTCAAACAGGGCTTTTCCTTCCATTGCCTTTCACTCAGTCACAACTATATCAAAATTAGTGCTGAATTAGGATGAAATTTGTCCCGTTCACTCTAAAAAAGTGTAGCATGTTGTGGTGAGAAGAGTAGGAGAGCAGGGGTAGATCTACTGGCTGTCCAAGAGTGCTTATGCCTCTTGGGAAGGTTCACTTTAAAGCATTAATCCTGGGAATGGAGCATATGACACTTTGGTTTTTTTAAAAAACTTTCCCAGTGGCCTAAATTGTTCCATTATGGCAAGACTGGAAATAACTTCTTGAAGTGTCTTTGTTTCTGCACATTTTTAAAAACTGATTTTTCTCAGGGGTGACTGAGTGGGCTGAGGCGAAGGGGGCCTGGTTGGCTGCGGGGCAGGGGCCGGAGCAGCCAGGCTGTGGGCTCCTACCCGGAGGTTTTGTACAGTTTGTCACATGTCAGTGCCCTTTGCTACTGTTTCTCTTTGTTTATTAAATGTGTTTGAATAACAGTTGAGAAGCTGTGATTTTTTTTTTTTCCAATAAATATTCTGAAATAGGTTTGAAAAGTATGAAGGGCAATCTGCAGCTTTGCCTGCAGCACACAGATACTGCACTTTGGGGGAAGAAAGGTGTGTGACACCCTGTGTGTGACAGCTAGAGCTGTGTGTGAGCTCACAGATAGATTGGCCATACCACATCTCACCTGGACCAGCCTGGTTCGTTAGAGAATAGAAATAAACGAGTCTCAGGTAAGATAATTATAATTATTATTGTAATTACCGGTTAGATTGGAACTGGGACCCTGGCCACTCCCATGCCATCATGAATGCAGACATCTGATCGGTCAGTGAGCTGGGCGGGGCTAAGGCCCCAACCAATCAGATGTTCGAGCAGGAATTTGAAGCAGTTATAAAAGGGGTGCCCTTCAATAGACTTAGCCTGATGTTGCATGAGCTCAATGTCACATGCCTGGCTCCAAAACTGCAAAAATTGGGCTCTTGCATCTGGCTTCAATTCACTTCTAACAATCATTTGCCAAAAGGAGAATCTAATGAGAATCTGGAGTCCTCTTAGGCTGCTTTCAGGGATAAAGGTACAACTGAAGCTTGTTTCTGATGTTTTTGTCTATAAAATAATCTCAAATTCCACATTTATCCTAACCACTTTCACTGATAACCACAAGCAAGTAGAACATTAATACAACCACTAAATGTGAGTAGCTAAAACAGGAAGAGGATTTTTTTTTTTGTCAGCTGTCATTAGCTAAACCCCTGCTTGACACTGGACCACATGGAAGAAGGGTCTGACTGTTTCACCTTTGGTGCTGCCTGAAGTTGGATGACATTGGCAATTCAGGCCCAACACAGGGAAAAGGAAGAGCAAGGACACAAGTGAAGAATGGGAAGTCTTGGATTGAGTTAATCCTACTCTTGATTACAAGTGGCTGTTGTCTCCTGTGGGTAGTCTGAAGGCTGTCCATCTCCATCCTCACTGCCACAGGACCTCAAAGTCACGGAGCAGGGATGGGCTGACACATCCCCAAACCAGTGTTTAACACCAGCACAGGGAATCAGACTCTCCCCACACAGAGAGCTCATCAGAAACCATGGCTGAGCCAAGTCACCACATAGCATGAGTTGATTTAAGACAGTATTTTCAATCCTCTTGACCCATTTCTCTATTCCAGATCTGACTGGTGGTCTGCACTGCCAATGAATTTGCCCAAAGCAAGGACACACTTCAAGTGCTAGCAGAGTCTTGGGCAGAGGCAGAAACTGCAGGGCTGGCACTGCTGACACCACGCAGATATTTGTTCATCAAGGAGGGCTTGTCAGCAGAAATTCAGATTACAGCCAGCATTTACATAATGCCATAACCTCCCTGCTATCCCACCTTAGGGCTGTCCTATAAACCTACATAAGCTGGAAAAGCCTTTGTGCAGGACCTTTAAGCAGCTCCAGGTGTGCCAGGCAGGTGGCTCCTCTAACACAATGCCATGTCACCACGGAGGAGACACAAGCATTACTCAGTGGTTCTTACAGAAACCACAAGCTGGAGCTGCCAGGTCCAGCTTATGGACCTCACTTTCCCATCTAAAGCTGTGAAACCCATTAACTCCTTTAAAAATTAATTTCTTTACTTGCTGCAAGAAACAGGTGATGCCTCAGCATTACCAAGTGATGAGAGGTTGTGTGGAATTGGCAGCATGTGTTAATTTACCCAAAATAAAAATCAACCCTGTACATCAGCTCTGTGCCAGTCCTGCTGCTGCCAGGAGCTCAAAGCCCAGCTCTCCCTGTTGCCAAACCCAGGTTGCTCTAGACCTGCTGCTGCAGCAGAAGGGAAAGGGGGGATGGTTTGCAGTAGAAGTGGCCTCAGCAGAGGGTTATGGCCCTGACTCCTGTCTGAGTTGATCAGAGCAGCCCAGGCTGTTGCCCCAAGAAGATGTGGGATACCCAGCGAAGGCCCATCCCCAGAACCAAGCTCCTGTGAGTGAAGAGCTCTGTCCATGGGGCTGTGCCACTACCAAGGCATGAGGCAAATGGCACCACAAAAACACCCCGGGGAATTCATACCTGCCCATAGCAGGATTTGGTCCCTCCTACCCCCAGAAACAACTAGGGGGAAAAAGCTCTCCAGGTGGCTTTGCCAGGTGCTTGGGGGAAAGATGAGTGATGAAACATCACAGATTTTCTGATAGCCAGAGTAAAATCAGAGGGTAATGCATGCACTAAGCTATGGCAGAAGGACTTGAAAAACCCCTCATCAGGGGTTTCCTGCATTGGAAAGCAAATAAAAGGAGCAATTTTACATCCTCCTCTGGAAAGAGAGGCTCAGGCTCCCTCTTGTCCCCCCCAGGCTGTGTCCAGGGCCCACCAGGCTCCCTGGGGCTGGTACTCACCTCCCCACACACTCCCATTAGTCACCCCAGCTGGCAGCTCACCTTGCCCCTGACAGTTTTGCCTGGAACAAAATTAATTAATTTGTTTTTCTGGCCTGCCTGCTTGTGTCTGTGGACAAAGAGGAAATAGTAATTGATATTAAAGATAGGAAAAGATTTTAGCAGTGTCAGGCACCTTTCAGCATCCAATTGCTTGGCCTGGGGCTCCAGCAAAATGCAGTGGAAACTGAGGCTGCATTTCCCCCTCTGCACACGTGGAAGGGTGAAATGCAACGGTGCAGAGGTCCTGCCACAGCTATAGGTGCATCTTGCACAACCCCTCCACACGCTTTTCTCTCTGCCTCAGGCTCCCACACACAGAGAAGGTCAATTCGTCACTCACTCACCCACTCTCACCTGGAACAAAGTAATCAAGCCAGATCTGTCTGCAGACAGGAAGCCTGCAGATATTTTCAACTCAGCTTGCTAACTTGTTTGGGAAATAAGGACCTTGGCCATGTCCTTCCACCTAGATCTGGTTTTAAGGCAGTTATTGACGGTTTAACCCAACTTTCACCTGGGTAAATAACTGCCATAAACTCTCTTGCTTTCCAGACTGGAGGAACACGTTGGTTACTCCAACGTAATTACCTTCAGACTGTGATGTAACAGATGAGCAAAGGCTTATCTCAAAAGATAATTGACCTTCTGGTTATTTTTCCTATTGGAGGTCTCCATCCCTCCTAAGTGTTTCCCAAACTTCAGCAGATGGGAATCTGACCCAAGTCCATCAGCAGTCTGAAGTGCACAGAATCCTCAAGTTTCACCAGTGAGCTGAGAACTCCACAGGTCTCTGTGTCACCAAGAATGTCCTTGATCTCAGAGCCATCTGGGAGCAGATCCTCTACCACAGCCAGGAAAACATGCGCCAGTGATCTTGATGAATTCAAATGACAGTGTCTAAAAATGAGGAAAACCATTTGGGCAACCAAGCAAGGAGACAGGCCTTGAACCTGGGCACTGAGTTCAAGATGTCTTGGAAAAGCAGGCAGATTAGACACTAAACAGATAGAAAACACCTAATAAATGGTCATCTTCAACCTAATGTTCCAGTGTGTTTTTATCTCAAATTTTAATATAAAGAAACATGTAAAAAGTAAGAAGGAGAGGGTCATATTTGCCAAACCAAAGGGGATTTGCCCATGAAACAAAGTGTCAAGGCCACGTTTTGCTGTTTCCATACCCCCCCCCCAACAATATGACCCTAAGGTGCACAGGGACCTGCACTTCCCACTGGGACAAAGAATTCCTGCGTTTCCTTTTCCAGAAATCACAAAACTGAACACAGTGATCCCTCTGAGTACGGACAGGAAGAGCCTCAGTGTCAGCACTAAGTTGCTGGATCTTCTCTCCTACCCTGTTGTGACCTCTAAGCATCATCTGTATCTTCCTCAGAGCAGGACATCTTCCTTGGACAGGACATCTGAGCAAGGCCTGGCTGGGAATACAGAGCATCTGCTGAGAGCTAAAGAACCAAAGCTGAATAGCTGGAGCCCCAAACCAGCTGGCTTCCTAAAATACATGCTCCAAAATTTCTGGCTGAACACAGTCAACTCCCCACAACCTCCTCCACCTGCTCCATAGTTCCAGCCACAAAGAAACACTTCTCTTGATCCTACTCCCACCGAGTCTTCTTTATGAGTAAAAGGCAATTTAAATGATAATTTAAAACTTGTTAGAAGGAACCTTCAGCCACTGCTAAGGATCAAAATGTCAATCTGTGAAAGAGATGCCCTGTAGCAGGGTTAGACTGTAGCCACAGCTGCATCACATCCCACTTCTCCCTTCCTCTGCCACATCCTCACCTTCTGCAGGAGTCTTCCTAGAGCTAATGACAACCTAACTTCATTTCTTGAAAAGCCTCATTTCCCACGAACATCCCCCTTCCTCATCTTCCCAAATGCAGAACACGAGCCAGAGCCCCTTCAGAAGCGTGAGTTTATTCAATATCTTCCTCAGACTCATCTCCAGATCCCCATTGCTTCAGGGAATGTTGCCCTTCTTGGCACCACACCTTGTACACAAAGCACAGACTCTGGGACAGCCAGGGACCAGAGGGGATGGTGGCAGTCAGGATGGCAAGGGCCAGCATGCACACAAACCATCTGCAGTCACCCACCAGCCAGAGATCTACCACTGGGATAAAGAGCAGGGACAAGCCACATCTTGCTGAATTCCTGCAGGCCAATGGGAGCTGTCAGTGCATGCTCTGGTGCCAGCTGCCTCCTCAGCTCCCATTTCCCATCTCCAGGCTAAGCTGTGTTATCCCAGCACTGGCTACTGGCCATTAAACCTAGTCCCAAAAGGGGGATTTCTCACCTGGTCATATACCCACATTGTCAGTAACTAATGAGCACAAAGCAGCCAGGCAGACCCAAAGTCAACCCAGGAGAGCAGAAAGCAGCAGTGAAACTGAGCAAAAAGCAATCCATGCAAGCATCTGGAGTTAAATGCAGCTGGGGAACAAACAAAGGATGGAGAGAGTGTGGGAGGAGGACACAGATGAGGTTGGTCTTAATTAGCCCAATTAGTGCAGGCAGGACCCTGGTCCCTTTTGCAAGGGGAGGATGT